CATCCAGTATTTTTTGCTAGTCATGGGGGCTCTGTGTGCCAAGTGTGGTCCAATTCCCTCTTTGGTGGAGTTCAGAGTGCTCATTGATTGCAGGTGAACTATACATCCCAGAACGTACAACTCCAAAATGTCCAGGCCAATTTCCCTCAAAACCCACCAATATTCAAATTTGGACATATCTTTTACATGCCAAGTTTGGTCCAGAGCCATCATTGTTTGGATTCATAGTGTGCTCTGCATGTAGGTGAACTACAACTCCTATAAATCCCTCCAAAGACCTCGAGTATGTTTTGTTGGTCATGAGGGTTCCATGTGCCAAGTTAGTTCCAGGTCCATAGTTGGTGGAGTATAGAATGCAGTTTTTAGATTGCAGGTGAACTATACATCCCAGGACCTACAACTCTTATAAATTGTCGTGAATTCTCCCCAAACCTCTCTAGTATGTTCAGCTGCTAATTAGTTCTGCTCTGTTTGCTGTGTGCCACAGAAAAGAATAGGAAAGGGTTAAGGGGGAGGCAGTGGGCAGGGCCATGCAAATTCCACTCCAATGGAGAGAATCAGAAACACTGGGATGTCTGTGATAGAGGAAAAACAGGAAGTCTAGGAAATACTTTGATAAATATTTTACATTAATATTTACTGAAAAACCGCAAAACAGCGAGTCCGCGAAAAGTTAAAAAACCACGAAGTAGCGATGGACCACAATAATAATAATAATAATAATAATAATAATAATAATAATAATAATAATACAGGATGCTTGTTAGGGATTCCTCATCTTCGGAAGAGGAAGGGGAGCAGGGAAGTGCTCAGGAATTAGAGAGAGAAGAAGAATCAGACGAGGAGTGTTTGAAAGTGCCCCCATTTTTAGAGAGATGAAAAGAGACAGAGCACAGACGGCATTCAGCGAGTATAGCTGCTAAAAACGCTGAACTGATTGGGAGACACCCTAGCACCTCCTGTGTGCGGAATTCAAGGCTATAAATAAGAGGCAGGAGCAGTCAGTTTTCGCTGGTAACAACGGCCCAGATACTGATGTTTTCTTGTCAATGAAATCTGCTTTGTGTCTGGTACTAAGGACTTAGTAATAATAATAATAATAATAATAATAATAATAATAATAATAATACAGGATGCTTGTTAGGGATTCCTAATCTTCAGAAGAGGAAGGAGAGCAAGGAAGTGCTCAGGAATTGCAGGGAGAAGAAGAATCAGACAAGGAGTGTTTGAAAGTGCCCACATTTCTAGAGAGACAAAAAGAGACAGAGCACAGACGGCATTCAGCTAGTATAGCTGCTAAAAACGCTGAGCTAATTGGAAGACACCCTAGCACCTCCTGTGTGCGGAATTCAGGGCTATAAATCAGAGGCAGGAGCAGTCAGTTTTCGCTGGTAACAACGGCCCAGATACTGATGTTTTCTTGTCAATGAAATCTGCTTTGTGTCTGGTACTAAGGACTTAGTAATAATAATAATAATAATAATAATAATACAGGATGCTTGTTAGGGATTCCTAATCTTCAGAAGAGGAAGGAGAGCAAGGAAGTGCTCAGGAATTGCAGGGAGAAGAAGAATCAGACAAGGAGTGTTTGAAAGTGCCCACATTTCTAGAGAGACAAAAAGAGACAGAGCACAGACGGCATTCAGCTAGTATAGCTGCTAAAAACGCTGAGCTAATTGGAAGACACCCTAGCACCTCCTGTGTGCGGAATTCAGGGCTATAAATCAGAGGCAGGAGCAGTCAGTTTTAGCTGGTAACAACGGCCCAGATACTGATGTTTTCTTGTCAATGAAATCTGCTTTGTGTCTGGTACTAAGGACTTAGTAATAATAATATTTTTTTTGTCGTGTCAGGAGTGTTCTGTTTTGAGAGAATTGGCTGTCTGCAAGGACGTTGCCCAGGGGACGCCTGGACGATTTTTTTATCATCCTTGTGGGAGGCTTCTCTCATGTCCCCGCATGAGGGAGCTGGAGCTGATAGAAGGAGCTCATCCGCTCTCCCTGGATTCGAACCTGCGACCTGTCGGTCTTCAGTCCTGCCGGCACAGGGCTTTAACCCACTGCACCACTGGGAATAATACAGGATGCTTGTTAGGGATTCCTCATCTTCAGAAGAGGAAGGGGAGCAGGGAAGTGCTCAGGAATTGGAGGGAGAAGAAGAATCAGACAAGGAGTGTTTGAAAGTGCCCACATTTCTAGAGAGAAGAAAAGAGACAGAGCACAGACAGCATTCCGCTAGTATAGCTGCTAAAAACGCTGAACTAATTGGGAGACACCCTAGCACCTCCTGTGTACTGAATTGAGGACTATAAATTAGAGGCAGGAGCGTTAACAACGACCCAGATACTGATGTTTTCTCGCCAATGGAATCTGCTTTGTGTCTGCTGCTAAGGACTTAGTTCGTTGCCCGCTGTCTGATGGAAGAGTGGTGTTTCTTTTGGGACTCCGTAAGAGACTTTGATTTGTGTCTGGATTAAGACTTCCTTGTTTTCTTTTGCACTTTTCAATTGCATTTGCTTATCCTTTGTGTTTGCTGAGGTAAAGCATTTTTCTTTGACGTACAACATTGTCTAAAGGCTGTATTTGGAGGGAAACTCAGGACAATGCTGGGACTTGTAGTCCAAAACCATCAAGAGGGCTGCATTCTTCCCATCCCAAAACCATGTCAAAGCTGATGTCTTTCTGAGTCCGTAATCACAATTAAAAGGCTACGAGGCATAAACGGCTTTCGACCTGTCATTAAGTGCTGCGTTACGGATTTGTAATAGAGTCTATTATGACTCTATTGCTGTCTGTCACTTTGACATTCTTTTATGAGACACGCCCTATAATAATAATAATAACTTTGGCCCTACTGGTTGTTAGGAATTGTGGGAGTTGAAGTCCAAAACACCTGGAGAGCCAGAGTTTGCCCTTGCCTGGTCTACCCTAACCATCGAATGCAGTTCCATAGAACGGCACCGTAGCCACCTCCAATGGGCCAACGTTCAAAAATTAATATTTACATGTGTTATAATAACGTTTGTGGAGCCCCCAGTGGCACAGTGGGTTAAAGCGCTGAGCTGCTGAGCTTGTTAACCAAAAGGTCGCAGGTTCGAATCCGGGGAGCAGCATGAGCTTCCGCTGTCAGCCCTAGCTTCTGCCAACCTAGCAGTTCAAAAACATACAAATGTGAGTAGATCGATAGGTACCGCTCCGGCGGGAAGGTAACGGCGCTCCATGCAGTCATGCTGGCCACATGACCTTGGAGGTGTCTACGGACAATGCCGGCTCTTCGGCTTAGAAATGGAGATGAGCACCAAACCCCAGAGTCAGACACGACTGGACTTAATGTCAGGGGGAAACCTTTACCTAATAATGTTCTAATATTATCAAGCAATAAGTAGAATAACCCTAAGCAGGCCTCTGGTTATCCATGTGTTGAAAATAATATTTGGATTTATTAAAATAATATTATAGTAATAATTTTATTGATTAACCCTTAGGCCATATCAAATAATGTAATAACAATAGTATCAACCAATCAATAGAATAAATATAAACAGGACTCTTTATCCGTGTGTAATAATAATAATAATAATAATAATAATAATAATAATAATAAAAAATCAACTAGCCTCCAGTTATCCATGTGTTAACAACAACAACAACAACAATAATAATACTATATCAACCAATAAACAGAATAAACATAAACAGGCCTTTGGTTATCCATGTATTAATAATAATAATAATAATAATAATAATAAATAAATGCAGACGGCCAATTTTCTCACACCAGAAGTGGCTTGCAGTTTCTCAAGTCGCTCCTGACATGACAATAATAATAATAATAATAATAATAATAATAATAATAATAACAACAATAATAAATCAACCAATAAATAGAATGAACTGGCCTCCAGTTATCCGTGTGTCAACAACAACAATAGTATATCAACCAATAAACAGAATAAACATAAACAGGCCTTTGGTTATCCATGTATTAATGATAATAATAATAATAATAATAATAACTATAATAATAAATCAACCAATAAATAGAATAAATGTAAACAGGACTCTGGTTATCCATGTGTTGAAAATAATGTTTATATTATTATTATTATTATTATTATTATTATTATCAACCAATAAATAGAATAAATATAAACAAGCCCCTGGTTATCCATGTGTTAATAATAATAATAATAATAATAATAATAATAATATATCAATCAGTAAATAGAAAAAACAAAAACAAACTTTTAGTTTCCAAGTGCTGAAAATAATATTTATATTAATAATAATAATAATAATAATAATAATAATATATCAACTAATAAATAGAATAAATATAACCAGGCCTCTTGTGATCCATGTGTTGAAAATAATATTTAGATTTATAATAATAATAATAATAATAATAATATCAACCAATACATAGAATAAACATAAACAGGCCTCTGGTTATCCATGTATTAAATAATTGTAGTAATAATAATAATAATAATCTAATATCAACCAATCAAATAAACATAAATACACTCAACACCAATGATCTATTCGATTGATTCTATTGATTCTATGATCTCCAGGTGCATCTGCACTGGAGAATTTATGCGGTTTGGTACCACTTGATCTGTAGATTGGTGAGGCCTTTGCAAAACTACACCTCCCAGGATCCCACTGAGTAGTGGCAGTAAAATTGAGCAGTGGTAGTTTGCATTGGCAGATAGATAGATAGATAGATAGATAGATATAAAGAGAGGGGATGGGCATTGATATATATATATATATCTCATTGAGCAGGGGCAATTAAATCGGTACCAATCCGCGTTAATTCTTCAGTGTGGACGCACCATTCCCAATACAAGAGGAAAAGGTCATAAATGTCAACCCCCCCCCTCCCATCCCATCCCCCAATATCATTTTGGGTCTTTGGCAGAAACCCGCTTCCCTCCCGCTTTTGGAGGAGAGCTTAACCCGGTCTGGTCCCGCAGCGTCCACACAAGCACTCACCTCCTGGCTTGGCTTGCTTGCTTGCTTCCCAGGAGGAGATCCAGGTGCTGTGCTTTGTCTTGGGCTGGATCCGGGATTGAATCAAGACAGCAATAAATGGGTAACTGAAGGCAGGGCTGTCTGGATCTCCTGATTGGGAGGCTCCTCCTTGCTCTTGGAGGCCTTCCTCCTCCTCCTCCTCCTCTCCCTCCTCTTCCTCAAAAAAGGTCGCAAAAAAGATTGCGATGCGGAGCAGCCAGAGTGATGCTGATGATGCGGCGCGGCCCGCAATGCTGCCACTGGCCGGAAGGTGGCGCGCCAGAGAAAGACAGAGAATGAGACGCCAGCAACACAAAGCACGCCGGGAACTGTAGTCTTTTCCCCCCTTTTGCTCCCCCACATCCATCCACCCAATATGCCGATGACAAAGTCGTCTGTGCGCATTCAGAAGCCGCTCTAAACACCTTTGCAGAAGCATACGAGAAGCTCGGACTCTCATTGAACATCGAGAAAACCTCTTCCAGAAAAAGGCACCAGCCAATCCCTCTCCAATGCCAGAGATACAGCTTAACAGTGAAAATGTGGACCATTTCCGCTCCCTTGGCAGCCACCTCTCCACAAAACTCAACATTGACACTGAAACCAAACACCACCTGAGCTCTGCGAGTGCAGCTTTTTTCCAGCAGGCACCAGCGAATCCTCTCCAATGCCAGAAATACAGCTTAATGGTGTCACATTACAAAATGTTGACTATTTCCGCTCCCTTGGCAGCCACCTCTCTACAAAAGTAAACATTGACACCAAAATACAACGCCTGAGCTCTGCGAGTGCAGTTTTTTTCCAGCAGGCACCAGCCAATAACCATACATTGCCCGAAATATAGCTTAATTAGAAAATGTGAACCATTTCCGCTCCTTTGCAAGCCACCTCTCTACAAAAGTAAACATTGACACTGAAACACAACACCACCTGAGCTCTGCGAGTGCAGCTTTTTTCCAGCAGGCACCAGCCAATCCCCATTCAATGCCAGAAATACAGCTTAATAGTGTCACATTAGAAATTGTGGACCATTTCCGCTCCCTTGGCAGCCACCTCTCCACAAAAGTCAATATTGACACTGAAATACAACACCACCTGAGCTCTGCGAGTGCAGTTTTTTTCCAGCAGGCATCAGCCAATCCCCATGCAATGCCAGAAATACAGCTTAATGGTGTCACATTAGAAATTGTGGACCATTTCCGCTCCCTTGGCAGCCACCTCTCTACAAAAGTCAACATTGACACTGAAATACAACACCGCCTGAGCTCTGCGTGTGCAGCTTTTTTCCAGCAGGCACCAGCCAATCCCCATGCAATGCCCAAAATATAGCTTAATTAGAAAATGTGAACCATTTCCGCTCCGTTGGCAGCCACCTCTCTACAAAAGTCAACATTGACACTCAAATACAACACCATCTGAGCTCTGCAAGTGCAGCTTTTTTCCAGCAAGCACCAGCCAATCCCCATGCAATGCCAGAAATACAGCTTAATGGTGTAACATTAGAAAATGTGGACCATTTCCGCTCCCTTGACAACCACCCCACCACAAAAGTCAACAGTCACACTGAAATACAACACTGCCTGAGCTCTGCGAGTGCAGCTTTTTTTTCCAGCAGGCATCAGCCAATCTCTGTGCAATGCCAGAAATACAGCTTAATGGTGTCACATTAGAAAATGTGGACCATTTCCGCTCTCTTGACAACCACCTCTCCACAAAAGTCAACATTGACACTGAAATGCAATGCTGCCTGAGCTCTGCGAGTGCAGCTTTTTTCCAGCAGGCATCAGCCAATCCCCATGCAATGCCAGAAATACAGCTTAATGGTGTCACATTAGAAAATGTTGACCATTTCCGCTCCCTTGGCAGCCACCTCTCCACAAAAGTCAACATTGACACTGAAACACAACACCGCCTGAGCTCTGCGAGTGCAGCTTTTTTCCAGCAGGCACCAGCCAATCCCCATTCAATGCCAGAAATGCGGCTTCATGGTGTCACGTTAGAAAATGTTGATTATTTCTGCTCCCTTGGCAGATACCTCTCCATAAAAGTCAACATTGACTGAAATACAACACCGCCTGAGCTCTGCAAGTGCAGCATTCTTGCGAATGAAGCACAGAGTGTTTGAGGACTGGCAGATCCATAGGGTTATCAAGGTGCTTGTTTATAAAGCCATTGTTCTCCCAACCCTGCTATACACCTGCGAAACATGGACTGTCTACAGACGTCATACGCAACTCCTGGAACGATTCCATCAGCGCTGCCTCCAAAAAATCCTGCAGATCTCTTGGGAAGACAGGCGGGGAAATGTCAGCGTTCTGGAAGAAGCAAAGACCATATCCATTGAAGCGATTGTCCTCCGCCATCAACTCCGCTGGACTGGCCATGTCTGAATACTCTGAGGATACCATTCGCCTCAGATGTAGGTGAAACATCAGGAGAGAATGCTGCTAGCCCATGGTCCCCCAGTCTGAAAAACTCACAACAACCCAATCAAGTGCCAGTTCACACCTTCCAAGTAGAGGGAGCCTCCAGGCAACAACAGCCATGCTACCTCTATACAGACACCCTCACTGATTGACTTTGCAAACTTCATGTCGACTTCATGTTTGCTAATGGCAACATTCGCACTTACTCTCAATAGACAAGGGTTCTTTCTCCAACCCTGGACATTATTCCACAAGTATATATACACCCCCACTTGCGTCTGCAGATACCCTCACTGATTGACTTTGTACCTGTAAGGCTGCTCAATGCTAATCAAGCTTGCTAATTGCAATAGTCACACTTGCTTCCAACAGACCAGGGTTCTTTTTCCCACCCTAGTCATTATTCCACAGGTATATATGCACTCCACTTGCCTCTATGCAAATACCCTCACTGATTGACTTTGCAAACTTCATGGCTACCCAATGCTAATTAAGCTGGCTAATTGCAACATTTACATTGGCTTCAAGTAGCCTAGAGTTCCTCAGGTATCTGTGCACTCTACAACAGACCTTTGAGGATGCCATTAGCCACAGATGCAGGCGAAACGTCAGGAGAGACTGATACTGGAACATGGCCACACAGCCCAAAAAATTCACACCAGCCCAGTAGTCTTTTCCCCATTTGCTGCTGCACAATGAATGCTGCTTGAATGAGGGAGCATTAGTCCTGCACTGCAACAGCTGGCCTGTAGGGGGCGCGCCAGGGTAATAAGAATAACAATGACGCAAAGCATGCCGGGAAGTGTAGTCTGATGCTTTTGTTGCCCTCCACGTGGTTGAGTCCAAGAGAAAGGACGAAGGGGATTGTTGGGGTTTTTTTGGGAGGGCGGGGTCTCCTTTAACCAGTTTCCCCAATTGGAAGAGAGTGGATCCCAGTTACACTGTGGAATGGATACAATTTATCTTTATATATATATATATATATATATGTGTGTGTGTGTGTGTGTGTGTATATAAAAATAATCCAGCAATCCTACACACACAATCATATATATATAATTATTAATTGTTATTAATGTATTTGTGTAATTGTATATGTAATTGTTATTAATGTATATAATGTTATTGTATAAGTGTATATATATTGTGTGTATACATATTAATTATATAATACACTATCGTCTAAGTTTATAATTCTATAAATATATAATTTATATTTTATATAATATACAATAATATATTATATAATTTATATATAAATAGTGTGTGTATGTATACATATTAATTATATAATACGTTATTGTCTAAGTGTATTATATATATATGTAATGTACAATTCATATTATATATAATATACAATAATATATACAATATATATACTGTGTGTATATATATATATTGTGTATATGTAATTTATACTGTGTACATATAATTTATATTCATATATAACCATGTATGTATAGATTTATATGTGTATATATATCTACATATATGTATATAGATAATAATTATACTCACATATATATATATATATATATATATATATATATATATATATATGCATGCACGCACACACACAATATACAAGATATTATATTACATTATTAACATTACATTCAATTTACCAGCACTATTATTGGATTATATATATATATGTGTGTGTGTGTGTGTGTGTGTGTGTGTGTGTTATTAATGTATATAATATGTTATTCTATAAGTTAATAATAACATATATGGTATGTATATGTGAATATATATAGTGTGCATATATATTATCATGTATGTATATATTATATGTGTATATATATAATGCATGTATATATTATCATTTATATGTGTATTATATATGTGTGTGTGTATATATATTATACACACACACATATATACACACACAATATGCAATATATTATATTACATTATTAATATTACATTCAATATACCAGCACTATTATTGGATAATATGTGTATATTTATTTATTTATTTATTTACTATATATGTGTGTGTGTGTGTGTTATTAATGTATATAATGTTATTCTATAAGTTAATAATAACATATATAGTATGTATATGTGAATATATATAGTGTATGTATACATATTATATAATACATTATTGTATAAGTTTATTAATGTATATAATATGTTATTCTCTAAGTTAATAATAACATATATGGTATGTATATGTGAATATATATAGTGTGTATGTATACATATTAATTATATAATACATTATTGTATAAGATTATAATATATATAATAATATATATACTGTATGCATGTATTTTTGTGTGTGTATATATATAATTGATATTTATATATTATGTATGTATAGATTTATATGTGTGTGTGTATATATAATAATAGTGCTGGTATATTGTATGTAATATCAATAATGTGATATAATATATTGCATATTGTGTATGTATGTGTATATATATGTGTGTGTATAATTATATATATATAAAATGTATGTATGTGTATATATATGTGTGTGTATAATTATATATATATAAAATGTATGTATGTGTATATATATGTGTGTGTATAATTTATTTATATATATATATATATATATATAAATTATACACACACATATATATACACATATACACAATATGCAATATATTATATCACATTATTAATATTACATACAATATACCAGCACTATTATTGGATAATATGGATAGATAGATATTATTGGATAATATGTATAGATAGATCATTTTAAATACATAATATATAGTGTATATAATATCCTAGTGAGTCACCCAAATGGAGAGAGGGAAAAGGAGGACAGAAAAAGAGTTTGGAAAGCAAAACCAGAAGTAAAGGAAGAGC